CCCGGGCCGAGCGGCGCGAGCGGCTCGGCGATTCCCGCCCGGGGGGTATAACGTTGCTGCACTTCCACTTCCACGCGGAACAGGTGATTTTATCTCCGGTACTGAGTTTCCTGAGCAGCTTTTCTAGATAAGTGACCGGGCGGGTTCTGCACTAGCCGCCGGCGCGAGCCCCCCCAGGAGAAGCGGCCGCCGGGGTCCAGGTGGGCGGCGGTGTAGTGACCCCTGCAGTGACCCCCAGCAAAGCAAGGGGAGGCCGTCGGGAGAGCCAAGAACAGCGTCCCGCCTCCTAAGGCGCCCTAATCACACCAAGTACTAACGGGCCTTTCTCTCTTCAGTTTTCCTTCCAGCAGGGTGGATGGGGAGCGGCCCTGGCTGACAAGCTGGTCAGGTGAGCAGTTCCTACCTGATCCTCCAGGGTTGGCTTTTTAAACACATTTTCTTATTTCATGGATTTGAGAGAGAGAAAGAGGAACCCTGGCTGCCTGTCCCACTAATGGGCGCCCGCTCTGCTCTGCGTGGCTCCTGGCCGGGGATGGAGCTGCAGGCCTGGGGTGTGCGGACACCACGAGCAGCGGAGCCACCGGCCGGGACCCACGCTTGAGTGTTCACTGATGGGAAATATCAGTGCTTCTCAGGGGGAGAGAGTGGAAAGGACCCTTTCAGTCTCCTCGGGCCTTTCCTAGTCTGTATCTGGGGTTGGACAGGACGAGGGGCAGGCCCCAGGGCTCAGGAAAGCACTTTGCCACCATGTGAAACCACACCCAGAAAGCTGTGAAAAACCCGGAGGGCTCGATCCCAAACCCGCCGCTGTGCACCACGGGGAGGCGACAAGCTCTGCAGTTACTGGGCTGGGCGGGGATGAGTTAAGTGATTAGTGAGTTCAGTTGAAAGAAAGAATATATTAACCCCAAGTTTGGATAGAGGTTTTTTCCTCCAAAATTCTCTTTATAAAATATATCAGGAAATAGTGATTTTGGTACTTTATTTGTCAAACTTAAATATGTGGTAAGGAACTCATTAACAGGGAAACAATGCCCCAATTCAAGAGGTTAAAGCAAATATTTAGAAATGTTTTCCACTTTATAAACAGTGGACACAAGTATTGTTTGGGGTGTCAGTTAACTGATCAGCGGGAATGCTGCCTTTTCCTCCATTAGAAGAAATAAGCTGGATGTGTTATCAGCTTATCATTTACTTGATAACCTTCTCATCGGTGTAACTAGCACACCAAGAAAATATACTTTATTTCTAAATTTGAAACGTGCTTTAAAAAAATCTTCGCTTTCTCCTTTATTTTTATCCCTGAAACTACAAGATGAAAAACTGACCTTCCCGCTTTTTCTAGTCCTAAATACTTTCTGTTTAAGTCGACTAGTCTGAAAACATGAAGCCATCCTTTAATTCCCCAGTTTTCTCTGCTGTGAAGGTGGGGGTGGGGGTGGGGGAGAGTAGCTGACTCCTACTGAATGCTTACCAGGTGCCCGAGACGGTTCAAAGTGCTTGGTGCGCAGGCTCTCTTAGTCTTTCTGACTCCTACGTGCGGAGTAATTCCGTTCCCCTCTGCCTGCTACGGCCGAGGACAGTGAGGTGGAGACGGAACCAGGTCACAGCTGCGCCCAGGCGGGCGGCTGGGCTGCAGAGCCCTGAGCCTCGGAGGGGGCGGGCGCCTGCCTCCGTGCTGGGGCCGAGTCCGCACCGGTGAGCCTGCGTAGTCAGGTGCCTGGAACACAGCACGTGCTTTTACTTGACTAAGCCCACAATTGTTTAGCCCGTTAACCTTTTCTGAACAAACAGAAGTTGAAGAACTGTTCAAATGGCCTGAAAAGCTCCAGGAATTTCAGATGTTTCACCAACATATTTTCAAAACTAGTTAATTTTAGTACTAAAATCTGTCAGAACTGGAAGCTTACAGGTGTGAGCACTAAACGACCACTTAATTAGATGGTTATTTTTTGGAATTGAGAGTAGTTATGGGAAGAGACAGAGTTGGAGACAGTGGTTATAAGGCTGCTGTACCTTATTTATGTAACTTCTCAAAGCCTCGTGTTGAGGTAGAGCACAGAACTGCTGGCTGCTGCTGACCCCACAAGGAGGCCTCACCTGGATGCATTGGGCCCCACCCACAGAGAATATCTCCCTCCCCTGGGCACACTGACATCGCCAAGCTCACAAGAGCCTACTTAAGATGTCACAGTGGAACAAAAGATAGAAGCCAGGCAGAGGGAGATACTTTGGTGCGCTGGGCCCATGTTCTTCCACCAGGCAGGACTCCGAGAGGAACTAGGAGGTGCTGGGGCACAGAGGGTTATGTTACAGGGATGCTGGAGGGGTGACTGGCAAGGGTGGCATCTTCTGCCTTCACTGCTGAGGGACCAAACAATCCCAGTGCCCCTCCTGTTAGTACCAGAGCAGACACCACGGCAAACACCTGCCCTTCTATTGGATGCATTCAGTGTGTAGCCATGTTAACACTTGGGGTGAAGTTTTGCAAACCTAGGTCCGGTGTCTGCTTCCGCCATTGGCATGGCCCTTGGCTGATTCCATTTTAATTTAACCTAATTCCCAAGCCTGGGAGTTATTAAGCGACGCCTAACTGCCCTGTACTGCCTGCTGGCCAGTAACAAACTTAAAATATACCAGTGTCCACAGTGACATCTCTGTTTTGTCATCAAGATCTTTGTACGCTCATCACAAAATCATTTTAACAGGTCTACTTAAACCTTTTAAAGTGTATCGACACATTTCAGTGCTTGTTTAGCCTTGTTTTCTGTGCTGCAGCAACTAAACCATTACGACAGGACTCATCCTGTGAGCATTTAAGAGTTCCACTTCTAAGCACTGTAAGTGGAGTTTTTTAAATGGCTGGTCAGCCTTTTGTAATCATTACACACAAACACATTAAGAATCACACAGAAATAAATGGGCAGAGTACTTTTGTTGCTGTGCTCAGGACTTATAAATGCTGAGCACTTTCACAGTCAAGCCAGTCCCCTCCGGCCACTCTCGGCTGTTGCCGGCTTGTAGCCACAGTTACTCCCCGGTGCCCTGGCTTCTCTCCTTAGCTGCTCGTATGTAGGAATTTGAACCACACACTAAAATGAACCACATCAACTTGCTAATCATAGACTGAACTCCAAGGTTTTTTTAAAAAATATTCTTTATTGATTTCAGAGAGAGGAAGGGAGAGGGGGACTGGGAGAAGCATCAATGATGAGAATCATTGATCGGCTGCCTCCTGCACGCCCCCTCCCGGGGATCAAGCCCAAAACCCGGGCCTGTGCCCTGACCGGGAATTGAACCCCGATCTAAATCCTAGGTTGATGCTCAACTGCTGAGCCACACAGGCCGGGCCAAGATTCTTTTTTAAAACAATTTTTTTATGGACAGCTTCAAACATCTACAAACATGTCCGTGGTCACAGCTAGTAACTGATGGAGCTGGGATTCCAACCCAGGCCCCCAGCTCCAGAGCCCTGCTTTGCCTTTTCATCAGACCACATAGTACTGGAAGTCAGATCACATGTTTTAGAAGGAAAAAATGCCTGTTTTAAACTGAAACACAACTAATGTATTTACTAAAACTACTCAAAGCAAAACCATGGGGTGATAATGACGGGTTATGAGAACAGGTTTACCACTTGGAACTGCTGTTCCACTCTGGTGGGGGATGCTGATGGAGGGAAGCTATGCAAGGGGGTGCAGGAGGGAGATGGGAACTCTGTGCCCTCCACTGTTTTGCTGTAAATCTAAAACTCTAAACAAAGTCTATTAAAAATACATTTATCCCCTAATCAACAAACCATTGTTACATTTGAGCACCTGATTATTAGTGACTTTCTACCTATGATACTTTCTTAGGTTAATACCCATCTGCTGTCAACTCCATTTTAAAAGTACCCCCTGCACCATACATGAAATCAGGTGGTCTGTAGACGAAACTACCACCCTTCTCTTGGCAGTGACTCGTCACTCTCACCGAGGATATGACAGGCATACCTCTATCTTGAAATGACTTAGAACAGCAACTTAGGAAGCTTTATGTGATTGTTCTTACCAAAGAGAAACTGGGAGGGGGCACCCTCATGAGGGGTTGGCTATGGGATTGAAAAGTTTTGTCCGCAATTCATTTTTAAAATATTTTTCATTTCAGAAAATGTGATGTTCTGAATCGTGGATTTTCAGGCTATAATACCAGATGGGCCAAAATTATCCTTCCAAGATTAATCAGGAAAGGGAATATTTTGGACAACCCAGTAGCAGTTACAATTTTCTTTGGTGCCAATGACAGTGCACTAAAAGGTAAAGGCATTTTTGTACTTTCCTAGTTTGTTTTCATGTTACAGCAAACTTAAATGTATATTCTGGTTACTCATCTCCTAATAGGTGACATTTTGCCTAATGTCTAATGAGTTAGTTCCCTGAGTACTTATGTGTATTTCTTCTGCCTTTAACGTCTGTGAATTTTATTCCCAACCTATTTTTCATACATCTGGTTTGTTGACCTCATTTCAAACACCGATGTTTCCTGGTCTTGTAGTGCTGTGCTCACTGTCCGGTTCTTTTCTCTCTGGTTGGTGTTGGCAGCAGAGGGCCCAGGTGTGCACCTTGCACGAGTCTCACTGATGCAGAGAGTAGCTGGGGTCAGCCCCGACCCAGGCGCGGCCTGGAATCCTGGGAGATGGCACCCCAGTTAGGACTGCTGCGGGAACTAGAGAGGGGCCAGGCCGAGGCCTCTGTCTGTCCCCTCCCCGCTGTAGCAGGAGAGCCTCTTCACCATGCAGAGGAAGGTCAGCCTGGACTTGGGGAAGTTGGGGGTCCCCTCCCAGAGGTTTCTCCAGGGCCCCGCTTCTCCCACAGCAGGGGTGTGGCCTGCTGCTCACAGTCACATGGCGGGGACATCTCCAGTGAGGCTGGAGTTGGGGGAAAGACCATACATTGCAGGAAGCAGTCGAGACTGCAAGCTGACTACCTGGGAAAAAGTGGCGTCATATCTTCACTTAACATCTCTACCAGCAGAAGGAAAAAACTCCAAAAATAGAATTTTTTTACAATGGTGAAATTTTCTCAAACTTGGGACAGGGAAAAACACTAAGCATAGAAGCAGTGGAAGGACCACAAAGGAAGAAAAAAGGCTTGTGAGATAAAGCCGCTCATGTCAAAAAACTGCTTCAAAGAGGAAAATGACGCACTGAGAAAAATATTTGCAAAAGTAGGCAGACAGAAGGTTAACGTCTGTAATGACAAAACCAAGAGATACATTAGCTCCAGTAGAAACACGGGCAAAGGCAGGAATAGGTAAATCACAAAGGAGAAGTTTAACAGCCAATACATGTTTTAAATGTGTGAAAACTTCAGTTATCCAAAAAAAAATGCAAATTACAAGGAACTTTGGGGCAGGCACCAAGGACTTCCCTTGTCTGGAATGCAGGCAGGTGCCATTTGCCCCAGGAAGGCCCAGCATGCTGCATCAAGGGGAAAGCGGCATCAACTGTGGGTCCTGAAAATAAATCTCATGTTTTTGAGGGCTTTTTATGGAAACAACTGTTCACGATAAAAGGTTATGTGAAAAAATGCAAAATAGGGTCATGTCTTTAATATGACGCCTTTTTAAAAAGTGTATGTAGTAGCTACATGGGAGAGACTGGAAAGTAGTACATCTAAGTCCCAACAAGTTGTCTCGGTTGTAGAAGGATCATGAGTGGTTTTACTTTTCTTTGTAGTTGTAGCCACGTGTGGTTTGCAGGTGGCCTGCAAGGAGCTTTGTGGTGCCCGTGTGTGAGCCCATCTGGAAGTGACCCTGTGCAGCCGCAGCAGCAGTGGTAGCAGTGGCCGGCCGAGTCACTGAGTGCTTCCTCCATGCAGGCATTGACCTAACTGCCCACAGACCCACCTGGTTCATTTGCAGGCACCTTGTGAGTTAGACCCTGTTATCCTACCAGTGAGGAAACAGGTACAGAAAGGCAGAGCATTTGTCCAGGGGCATGTGGTTGGTCAGTGATAAAGCCAGGAGACAGCTGGCAGTCTCATTCCACATCCGCTCTTATTTCTTTATAAATTCAACCTAATAACCATATGACCACAAGTGGAGAAAAGACGAGGGCATCTCCCAGACCTGAGCCAGAGCCTCTGAGGTCCCGGTTTGAAAAACCGCACTTGACCCTTTCCCCGGCTCTGGCCTTGGTGCTGAACAATGTTAATTTTAACTGCCACTTAGACAACTGTGCGTTTGCCTGAAGTGTCCACATTCCTCCTGAACAGATGAGAACCCCAAGCAGCACATCCCCCTGGAAGAGTACGCGGCAAACCTGAGGAGCATGGTGCAGTACCTGAAGTCCCTGGACATCCCTGAGAGCAGGCTGGTGCTCATCACGCCGCCCCCGCTCTGCGAGGCTGCTTGGGAAAAGGAGTGCCTGGCGCAAGGTGAACAGACCTGGGCCCGCGGCCGAGAGTTCAGGTGGGGTGGTGCGCCCCAGCCTGTGGGCTCCGGTTCCTAGGGCACAGTAAACTCGTCTTGGTCTGTGTTTGCAATCAGGTTAAAGAAAAAAGGCGTAGCTTCCACTGTGTCACACCCGAGAACTCCTGATGTAGGAAACTGAGTTGCTTTGGCTGAGTCCGGCCGCCCGGCCTGGCATTTGCTGCCTTGTATTTCCCCAACGCCACGGTGCACATGAAGCCACTGAGAACTGTGCAGACGGCTGAGCAGGCATCTCAGAACAGTCAGTGTGGTTCTCTGCGTGGTGCTGAGGCTCAGGGAGTCTCTGTGCCTTTCACACTGGGCCACATTTGGGTGTTTTCCTGACTCCCCAGCAGCGGGAGGTGTGTGCTGCAGGTTGCCTTGCCCATTTCTGCCTGTATGGGACCCTTTCTCCACTCTGCCACACCTGTGACACCTCCCTTCAGCAATGGAACCTTTCTTTTCCCCAAAACAAAGGCTCCCCAGCACAGAGGCACTCAGGTGTAAGGGCAGCTCCACTTCATGAGGTTGAGTGACTGCACGCAGCTCTGGGTACCCCAGCACCAGGCTTCTGCCCCCACACGGTGCCAGGACCTGGCCAGGTGCTCAGGGTACAGAAATGACTAGAGCCCAGTTCCTGCCCGCTGGGCTAGTGAGGGAGACAGTTAAGTAGGTGTCCGCAGCAGTGCAGTAAGTGGTATTACAGAGAAGGTCTAGTGAAGGACTGAAGCAGGACCTGGTGATGTCAAGGAGTCGGGAACGTGCCCTGGGGAGAGTACAGGGAGGAGGGAGCTAGGATGAAAGGCCCTGGGGGTCTGCTCAGACTGGTGTTGGCTGCCTCGGGTCGCTTGTCAGGTAGCAAGTCCTTTGTTGCAGGAAATGCTCCCGCTGAGCTGGATGTGCAGGTGTGCGAGTTCGGACTGTCAGTGCCTCTCAGATTGCAGGCCACAGCCCCTTCGTGCTCACAACATGTTTGCTGTTAGTTACAACATACATTTTTTAAGTGGAATAGAAAAGAAAAAAAATCAGTATCTAGAACACAGGCACTGTTCTGTGAGGTTTGTTTCACTTAAGGGTGTGCGTACTGAATGCTGGTGTTAAACATATTGCTTACTTTAGTTTTAGTCGCCAAGATTAGGAGCCATCGGGCACGGTTCTTGTGTGGTCCAAGATCAGCAGATCAGCATCCCCTGGGAACTGGGTAGAAATGCAAATCCCTGCAGGTGATACTTACATACGCTCAAGTTTGAGAGTCACCAAATTAGCCTGGGCCCAAGAAAGTTCTTTTGGGAAACACTCAAGCCCACTGGCTTATGTATTGTCTGTGGCTAGAATGGCAGGGCTGACGAGATGCCCAGAGACCATACACATGCAAAGCCTAAAGTACTTACTATCCAGCCCTTTGCAGGAATGTCTGCTGACGCCCGAGTTAGCCCAAGTGACCTCTGTGGTCCCTTCCAGCTCTTATCTTCTCTGGCTGAAAGTCTACAAATGATTTTTCCATTATATTGCAGTAGCTTCTTATTACATCTAAAAGTTCCAGGATCCCGGCACAGCATTCCTCTGCAGCTGTACCCCTTACTAGCCTCCAGACCTCTGTTCAGTGTCCTCAGGAGGCCATGGTGACCACGAAGGCTCCCTCATCCCCGCCCTGTGCTGGGGAGCAGTCTGCGAGGCCCATCCTCATGTTATTCTCCAGGCCCCTTGCTGGCCCACGTCGGGTCCATAAGCCACGCCTGTTTACTGAACTGAGAAACGTCCAGGTCAGAACCTGCACCAGGACCAGTACCCGAGTTTATTGGCTGTCACCTGGATTTGCTCTCCTCAACAGGTTGCAAGTTAAATCGCCTGAACTCGGTGGTTGGCGAGTATGCCAACGCCTGCTTACACGTAGCCCAAGACTGTGGGACCGACGTGCTTGACCTGTGGGCCCTGATGCAGAAGGATGGTCAGGTAGAGTGGCTTGCCTGGTCCTTTTGGGGTGAGTAGGATCACACAGAAGAGACTCAGCTGTGCATGGCTCCAAGTGGGAAAGACAGTCGTCCCTTTCACCAGCGAAAAATGTTGGGGTGGAAAGGAGAGGCTCCAGGACAGCATGTAGCCCCAGCACCACCTCAGTGGCTCCTTAGCTGCACGCAGAGGAGCCCCAGTACTGGTCAGGGTGGGCACACGGTGGAATCAATGCGCAGTAAACGGCTCACATTTAAGAACAGCCAGGCTGAGTTCTGTATAATATGGCCTGGGGGAAAGTTAGAACTCATGGGGCAAACAATTTAAGTGGAACGCTCTACCAGTCAAAATTTGTATTTTGAGATATTGTAGTTCAAATGGCTTTGTTTTTAAGTCTAGAAAGTGCAAAGCTTCTCCTGAGATGGGAGAGTTGTGCTGCTAGAGAAAAGGAAGTTGCTCTTACAGTCCTTTCAGGTTTAATACACTGAGATCCTAGAACTGAGAGGGTCATTCCATCTGAAACAGCAGAGATGAGAAGATGAAGGAGCAGGCAAAGTGCCCTGAGAATCGGAACCCAAGTCTGTGAAAGTGGGGCACCAGCAGGCTAACAGGATGGGGAGCTGTAGCTGCAGGAAGAGACTCGACCCCAGTAGAGAAAGAGCTCACATGGTCAATGCTGCTGAGATCAGGGCATGGGGGCACTGACTCCCGTGTCCCAACAATCGTCGTTCCAGTTCTTTCCTCCTAATAACTTGCCTGTCAATTTAATACCTAGACTAAGGAGCAAAAATAAATTGACACACTGGGCCTTTTCACATCCAGTTTTTCATTTTGTTGGTTACATTAATGTACCATGTTCACTCGTTAAGCCTCTTCTTTGAACCGCTGACCTGGAAGGACGTCTCAGCTCAGGTCTTCATGGTGGGAGCTTTCGGAAGCTCAATCCACAATGTGCCCATAATCTACACAGGGCGTGGGATCCCTCGATGCGCTCATGCACACAGCACTGAGGCGCTGCTGCGGGGGCAGGGGGGTATAGACCAGGGGCACAGCGGAGACCGGCACACACCTGTAACCAAGTCCCCTCTCCCGACAGGACTTCTCATGCTACTTGTCAGATGGACTACACTTGTCACCAAAGGGAAACGAGCTCCTGTTCTCCCACCTCTGGCCTTTGATCGAGAAGAAAGTCTCTTCCCTGCCACTCCTGCTCCCTTACTGGCGAGACGTGGCAGAAGCAAGACCAGAGCTCAGTCTTCTCGGAGATGGGGACCATTAGGCTCAGAAAACGAGGCTGTTAGTTTACAGAACAAAACGTCACCAATGCACCACAATCCCAAGACAACTGATCAAAGAGTATTTTCTCAAGCCTAAACCTTTGCTCCTGACCCTGGAGCAAACACTGACATTTGCTACCAAGATGAATAAAAGTGTTATTTCTCAGGGAAGCTTTGTACCTCTTCTGTGGTTTTGATACTTAATGTTTATTGATCCATGCAGATGTCGCCAATGCCAGAGCCACAACACACCCTGAGCAGCTTGTTGAGTCTATAAATGGAAACAAGGTAAAGACGTTTTGTTTTTTAAAAAGTTGATTTTATAAAAAATGGTTTCCTTACATTCAGCTGGGAACTGCTTCACTCTCAGACATACACCCACTCACCTTACATCAGATCCCAAAAGTGTAACTAAAATATAAGAATATTGTGACTAGTGAAAAGACAGCAAATACCACAAGGTACAAGTTCAAGTATTACTGTAACAGGTATCTGCGTAACAAACGTCCTCAGGGGAAAGGACATCATTTGTCACAGGTTTGGTTACTTGCCCTCGAAGTTTGTAAGTTACCTCATTTAAAACACGTTGGCTGGTGAGCACATTTCAGGACTTACAGGGGAAAGCTTTTAACTATCATTTTAAGGAAATCAGAATCCCACCTGATGACTTATCCTTCACATAGTAAACGCACACCATCCAGAATCCTGAGGCACTAAAGCAGGAAGCAATGGGAACAGCCTTGCAGGCCAGGACCACGGGTGTTTAAGAATCACTTTGTAGGGGCTTTAACCCAGAGGCCACCCCACTTGAGGGAGGAGGGGTCACCATGCGTAGTGGCGTAGCAGGCCCCACCACCGATCACCTCGGTCACAGTCCAGAGCAGTACCATCTGCCCAGGATACCAGCCTAGACAACCAGGACTACAAGCGTGAGGTGACGAGCCAGTCGGGCTGAGCAACTCATCAGACAGCCTGGACAGCAGCACCCAACCACCCAGTGTGACACGGGGCGGAGTCACCCCAGTCTCCGAGGCCCCAGAACCACCCCCAAAACATGTAGCTCTGGGCCGTGAACAAGGGACACTGACCAGCTCCAAGTTTTGCCTTGGGGCCACCCCCAAAGGAAGTACAGGAGTACAAGCTGGCTGCATTCAGCCAGTGCTGCTACCAAATTCCAGTCCATCGGGGTTTGGGCAGAGGACTGC